TTTATGTTAATAAATACATTAATTAATAGACCATTGTTTAAAAGTGTTACCCATAATATTTTTAATCAATTTCTAATAATCGATTATATGCTGAGAATATTAGACTGGATATTCTTCAAGACACTAGTGTTCAGCTTAAAGTGACATGTAAAGGCTTCACTAGGGTAATTAGGGTAAAGTTAGGGTAATTAGGTAGTCATTGTATAACAGTGGTTTGTTCTGGAGACAATCCAACACTAATATTGCTGAAGGGGCCAATAATATTGACCTTAACATGAGTTAGAACAATTAAAAACTGCAATAAATATCAATATTTTCAAGTGTGTGTGTGTGTATACCATACAAGTTATAAAAATTCAAACATCTATGCAACAATGACAATTTTGTTTTTATGTTTGTGTTTGTGTCACTTATACATAATTTAATAACGCTCAAACATATATATATATATATTATGCCAGAACAAACCTTTATTTTGGATGTGATTAATCTTTGCGTGATTAATCATGATGGATATCCGTGTTGTGTTTCAGGAGGTGCTGATGAGCAGATGGGTTTCCTCCAAAGAGCGAACCGAGCAGGAGGAAATATAAACATTCACGACAGATCATTCTCGTTTCTTCCAGTCATCTTTATTTACGCTTATTTATTTTGGTGAATAATATGCAGAGAGTGTTCAACAATAAATGCACATCAGGACATCTCAGAATGTCATCTGCTGGTTAATCACTCAACATCATGATGGTATACAGCGCTCAGCAGAAGTCAGCACACCCCTTTAAAAACTTACATTTGTGTCATTTCTCAATCACTATAGACAGTCAATTTGGTGCATTTACACCAGAGATAGCCAAACTCTTTTGGTTGAAGATCCAAATATCATTGAGAGCTGTGGGCTGAAGGTAAGTATACCAAACTATTAGACATTAAAGTTACATTGGTAATTTCCTAACTTACTGCACAATATTTCAAAATATATAGAAAACCTCACTTTAGCTCATATTTACTAATGCAGTATAACTGTTTAAATAATAACTTCTTGCAATAAGAACAGAATCACACACGGGTGGAGTTCAATTCTGAATACACTGGTCAGGCAGATCTGCCTTTGACTTGACTCACTCACCTAAGTCTCTTCGCTGTCCTCTGTCCATCAGGTCACAGTATGTGCATTTAAACTAAATTACAGCATTTAAATTGAAATGTTTAATTTCAGCTAGCTTTTTGTTGCTTAATAAAACAAGCAAATATAAGGTTATATAAAATTTTATATGACGCTCTCATTATTCTTCCTCTCTACACCAAATCAAAGGTTACCATGGGCCAACTAGTGTGGGCATCTCTGATTGAAACAGATCAGTTTTATTAAACATTCATTTTCTTCGGGGTCCGGGGTCGCCACAGCGGAATGAACCGCCAACTTATCCAGCAAGTTTTTATGCAGCGGATGCCCTTCCAACCAATTTCCAACGGACAATTTAGCCTACCCAATTCACCACATGCCTTTGGACTGTGGGGGAAACCGGAGCACCCGGAGGAAACCAACGCGAACACAGGGAGAACATGCAAACTCCACACAGAAACGCCAACTGAGCCGAGGCTCGAACCAGCGACCCAGCGACCTTCTTGCTGTGAGGCGAATGTGCTACCCACTGCGTCACCTGTTTTATTAAACAGTTAAATCCATTAAAATAAGAGTGTTCACTGAACATCTTCAGGAATATAAAGATAATGCACTTATATTAAAGCTAGCTATTGCAAATATGATTGACAAAACTACACTATTACCACTAAACTTTATATTTTTTTAAATTCTTTTTCTTGATTTTTCCTCATTACAATTTTATGTGCTATTTTTCCCTGATCATCTTAATTTACACGCACTCATTTTCAGACTGTGATCTTCATCTTTTTAGTTCATCAGTACTGACTAATCTGCATCTGCGCAGCATCCTGGAGAGAATATGACTGCAGAAGAGAGAGCTGTGAGGGAGAAACTGCTTTATTATGATCGCTGCATGTGCTTTTACATTAATTACAACTTATTAAACTAAGTTACTTGTAGTTAAATGGTCAAGTTACACACGGAACCAACCCAGGCGCATTCAGATTACGTGCCCCTGTATACATTTCCGGAGAGCGCCAAATACATCCCGGGGGGGGGGTGTTTTTTTGCAGTTTTTGCAAATGCACCAGAGGCTGCTGTGCACGCTTTTTGAGTCAGCAAGTTCTGGTAAGCGTAAAAGGGAACGCCGTCATACCGTCCTGTAGAGTTCGTTTTATAGACTAAATGCAGCCGTACGTTCCCCTAGCTGCATAATTCACCGTCTCTAGATGTATACACAGGGCTACGTTTTCAGAAGGAGACTATGTTGCATGGAACAGTTGACCCCATAAATAAATCAATTGATAGCCCATGTTTGAGCTCATTTGACGTACTGTGGGTGCGATAAATGCAGATATCTCAGTAGTAAAGCGTGTCCAGCGGTGTACTTGTGTTTATCAGGCACATCATGACTCACTGTCACCTTGATACAAGATGTATGAATATACTGAGTGTTGTTTTGCAGTGCAGCTCCATCAGTTGTGGTTTTCCTCCATTGGGTCGTCTTGAGAGTTTCTCCTCGGGTTGTTGACGATGTAGAAGTGGTTCTGGGTTATCTGGCTGCACAGCATCATGTATTTGGAGGCTCTTTTAATGCGAGGGAGCACGAACGAGTGTGTGAACTCATCTTTGCTGAGCGCGCGCTTGGACTGCGTGGCCAGAACACAGTTGATGAACATCAGTGTGAAGCTGAAGCAGTTGTGGCTCTCTTCATTAAAGCTGGAAGACACACACACACACACACACAAATACACACCTTAAAATCCACTAGCTGTATTCTTAATCTAAAATCCAGACCTTTTTTTCCTTATTTTTGTGTGTGTGTGTGTGTGTTTGTAAATGGGTGTGAGCGTGCATGCATGTGTGTGGGGGAGGGTGCACATGCGTGTGGCTATTTGTGTGCAGGTCCTCACCTCTGCCAGAGCGGGTCCCACATCTGAGCGGTGGAGAATTTCTCCAGATATTGATCCCATTGGCTGATCAGACTGAACATATCCGGCTGCACCAGCGGCACACAGATGCAGCGCTCCCAGCCCTGAGTCTCCCTCTGCACACCCGCACATGTGTAATTATACACCACGCCTGCAACACACACATTAAACATGACTTTTACACACTGAAAAGACTAAACATGGATGTTAAAGGGGACCAGATATGCTATAATCCCTGTCATAAGGGTTTAAACACAGTTGTGTGGCAGCGGTGTGTGAATATAGTCCTTGTGTGTGTTCGGATTGACTCCCCTTTGGTGATGTTGGGGCTGTTTTTGACCCATTGACTTGCATTATAATCATGTTTATTGACTGTAAAGCCGTGACAGCAGATAATCATGCATTCTTCAGTGTTGCTGGATTCTCCTGCTTCCCAAAATATTAAATTATGTGTAATAAGATTTGTCAGCAAAATTCATCCTATTTGCTTTAACATAGAGAAAGAGTGGATGAAAACGACCCAACAGCACACAAGGGTTAATGACATTATACAGTAAACTGTGTGTTTTAACTTAAAAATGTGAACTGAAATATCTCTGACAAGTTGACTTTAATATGTGTTGTTTTGGCGCACGTACCATTTGTGTTGGTGATTCCTGTATGCAGATCAGATTGTCCATCAAAGTCCCTGAAATAAACACATCATCATCATCATCATCATCATCATCCGTTACTGTGAGACACTTTATATGCAAATTAATCCTTTAATGAGATCAAGTATATTAACAAGAACTCCATTAAAGGAGTATTTCACCATTGACGTTCATAATGTTTTATAGCGTACTATAGTAAAGTGCATTATTCTGTATGGTATCTACAACAATTGGCTAATGAATGCTTCAGCATACTGTCGTATTAACCATAGAGAACTGATATAAATACTGTAGTTTACTTACAGCTACTAATTAGCTGCTTATTAAAGTAAGGTAGAAGTTGGGTTGAAGTTTTGGGTAGGATTAGGAGCGCAAAATAAGATCATGTTTTAGTACTACTAACGAACAGTTCATATCTTAATAATAGAGATTGATTAAGACAGTAGTTAATAGTGTGATTGGTGACTTAAAGGGGAGCTATTAGGTTTAAATCAGTTTTATGAAGCCCAGTAGTTTATTTAAGCCCAGTAGTGTGTGTGTGTGTGTGTGTGTGTATCTCCAGCAGCCTCTAATGCTGAACATGAGTGAATCGTGTTTGTTCTAATCAGACTTGCTGCAGAAACACTGTGATTGACATTCTCCCTTTGTACGTGTCATCATAGGGGGAAAGCCCCGCCCACTATCTCTCCATCTCATTAGCATCTCCAGCAGCCCTGAGTGAGAAGCAGCCGTCTGTCCATTAGCCATTAGAGTGTTTGAGCTGCTGAAGATAATGTCAGCATAGACTAAGAGGATTATAGATGTGGAGTTCTAGATGAACAGGAGCGACATAGACTGACAGAAGCATGAACACATACTCACACTAAAGCACCTGATGAGCACTGAGAACACTATGCTGACACATAGGCATTTGTAGCTCCGCCTTCTGAAAAGAGCACGATCTCATTTGCATTTAAAGCGACAGTCACCAAAACGCCACAATTATGATCAAAGCCTGAAAGGGTCAGTTCCAGAGAGCTGGAGAACATTACCTGTGTGTATTCTCAGTTCAAACTCACACACACACACTAAAAACAGCAGAGACGCATTTACAGCTTGCAAAACAGGTCATCTGTAAACTAAAGTGTTATCAATCTCCTTCACGTTCATGGCATGCATGGTGTCATGTTTATAAAGTGTTACCTGCTCCAGATCTCACCTGAGCAGCCGGTCTTCAGCTGACGCCACCAGAAAAGCACATGGGGTTTTGTGTCCGTTGCTGAAGGGGTTTGGGATGGAGACGGGCGCCTCCTCCAGCCGCTTCCCGCTCAAACTCTCCCCACATTCGGGACACTGATCCGGCACGAAGAAGCAGAAGATGTCCCTGTGGCAGTGGCTGAATTTGATCACGCTCTTCTCCATGGGTGGAGACTCTACATGAACACACGGAGAGATCTGCACTAATGCAGGAGCGCACAGAGAACAGCAGATCAGCGTGTGTGTGTGTGAGTGGATCACGTCACGTGTGCAGATCAGCTTACAGATGACAGAAGCCCTGTAGGATCTGTTTGCATGATGGCCACTTCATTAATGATCATCAGAGCTCACGTGCTGCTGCTGAGAGAAGCTGGAAAAACACCGATATCATTTCCAAATCCATAGCTAACACTGTCGTCATTCACTTCATCCGGTGCTGAAAACCTGTAACCATTGACTTCCATTGTATTTGTCGTTTCTACTGTCTATGGTAATGGTTCTAAATCTTTCTAACCTTTTTCAAAATATCTTCTTTTGTTTCCAACAGGAGAAAGAAACTCATAAGGGTTTGAAAGCACTTGACTGCGAGTAAATAGTGAGTATTTTTTGGGGTGAACTATCCCTTTAAAAGGATATTCGCAGTCAACATTCTGTCTCCATGTACTCACCCTTCGCTTCTTCCAAACCTGTTTGTGTTTCTGTTTTCTGTAGAAGACAAAAGAAGATAGTTTGAAGAATGCTGGAAACCTGTAACCATTGACCTCCATTGTAACTGTTTTTCCTGCTATGGAAGTCAATGGTTACTGGTTTCTAAACTTCTTTAAGTAACTTGTTTTGTGTTCAGCTGAATAAAGAAACTCATAACGGTTTAAAACTACTTGAGGGTGAGTAAATAGCAAGTAAGTTTCCGTAAATGAAAATTCTGTCATCATTTACTCAACCAGTCCTTGTGTCAAACCTTTATGAGTTTCTTTCTTCTGTTGAACACAAAAGAAGACATTTTGAAAAATGCTGAAAACCTGTAACCATGACTTCCATAGTATTTGTTATTTCTGCAGAGGAAGTTAATGGCTACAGGTTTACAACCTTTTTCAAAACATCTCCTTTTGTGTTCAACAGAATAAAGAAACTCATAAAGGTTTACAAACACTAGAGGGAAAGTAAATAGTGAGTTTTTATTTTTGAGTGAACTACCCCTTTAATTTCAAAGAAACAGCAAGCAACATACACTCTAAAATAAAACATGCTGGGTTGTTGTTGTAACCCAAAATTGGGTCAAATATGCGCAAACTTAAGTTGAATGGGAGCCACCAGCTTTCATCAACATATAAACAAAAAGAAACTCTGATAATATCCCCCAGAGGGCGCAAATATATATACACACTCAGAAATAAAGGTACAAAATCTGTCACTGGGGTGGTACCTTTCCAAAAAGTACACTTTCATACCATACAGGTAAACATTATTAGTACCTTTAGGGTCCACTTTCCTACTTTAAAGATTCACTTTTGTACCTTTAAAGTACACATTTGTACATTTTTAGGTATTAATATGTACCTTTAAGGACCTGTTAGGAACAAAAATGTTCCTTTTGTAGTGACAGATTTTGTACCTTTATTTCTGAGAGTGTATGTTAAAATAAGCGGCCCCAGAATAGAGCCCTGAGGTACTCCACTGATAATTTGAGGAGGTGATGATGAAAACGTGCCTGCTTTACAGAAACGCTGTTGAAAAACAAAACCGTACTTCAACTTGTTCCACAAAAATGTTTTTTTTTATAACTTTATAACTGAAAACTTTAATAAATCATGTAAAAAGCTTCATTTCTTCAGGCGTAACAGGTTGAAGTAATTCAGTTCAGTTTGAGAATGGGAAAATGGGATGTTTTGTTAACCAGATGAGATTTGGGAGACTATTTGAAGCACTGTGACATCATCGAATCTTGCATGACATTAAAATCAAGTGGTAATAATTAAAACAAAACAGCAGGACCAATAACATCATCAGCCGGTAACTGGGTGAAGTCACTCACTCAAAGGCACACGTGAAGTATAGAAGGTGAGGCAGCATCTCGTTCACCAATTAGTAAACCACGGTCACAGCTGTAACTGAGACGCTCCCTTTTGAGTGAACTTCATGCTGTGTCATTTTGGAGACACTGAGAGATCACTATTACACACTACAGTCAAATGCCCGAGAGTCACACACTATGAGCTATGAACACAAAGAGTTCATTCACACAAAAAAAGGACATTTATTTTGTATAAGTTAGTATATTAATTAATATGTTATTAATTACTCATCCAATTACTAAAGCCGAGACCGTCGTTCATCTTCAGAACAGAAATTAAATACATTTGTGTTCTGAAGATGAATTAAGGGTAACTATAAACAGAATTTTTTCAATTTTGGGTGAATTAAACCTTTAATTTGATGTTCAAAATCATGAAAACATGAAATATGACAGTAATACGTCAAATTTAAACCATTTTTTTTTTCATTTCTTTTTTAATTTAACATCAATTGTGGTGTTTTAATCACATACATTACTTTTCCTCAAAGAGTGTGATGCAGATATACTGAAAGTAGGTTAGTGGACTTGCTCCAAGTGTGTTCACCTGCAATGTAAACCCAAATGTCTTTGCTTAAAGCTTGTATTTACAGGTATTCCGACTGTGATGTGGGAAATGAATCCTGTAAACACATCACGCTACACTGACTGGGGATTCACAACAGACGTATATCAGCTTGCAAATAATTCATGAAGAGCTGTCAAGTAGGTTGAGGAGATCACTGCTGTGTATCTACAGCTGGAGACTACACTGTTAGCCCTTCTGTGCAGTGTTTTTTGATGTGATGTTTAATGCTGATTTTTTCAACTCATATTTAAATAATAGTTTTAATAACTCATTTCTAATAACTAATATCTTTTGTCTTTGCTATGATGACCGAAATTAGCTGTTTACTAGTTACAGTGTTGGTGTGGGTTTCCTCAAGGTGCTCCGGTTTCCCCCACAGTCCAAACACATGTGCTATAGGGGAACTGATCAACTTAATGTGTATGGGTGTTTCCCAGTTCTAGGTTGCAGCTGGAAGGGCATCCACTGCGTAAAACATATGCTGGAATAGTTGGCGGTTCATTCTGCTGTGGTGACCCCTGATGAATAAGAGACTAAGCTGAAGGAAAATGAATGAAGTATCACTCGTCATCCGCTGTATTAGCTATGTGAAAGCCGTGTTGTAATATCGTCTGGTAGATGCTGATGTAAAGGGACACGGTCTTCATGCGGGGTAAGATGTACCGTCCAGTGAACTCATCTCTGCTCAGACAGTCTTTATTGTCCAGTGAACGCATGCGGTTTATGAAGGTCAGAGCGAAGCCATAGCAGCAGGAGCCGAACTCACGCTCCTCTTCAAACCTGGACAAATAGATCATTATAATTACATTAATATCCCATATACAACAGAAATATAGAGCTCGAAACAACAACGCAGCAGTTCTGACAGGTTCAAAATAGGATTTTTGGTATTCCTGCCATGTCACTCGTATCTTTTTGATTGGAGAAAAGTGTAACGTTCAGTATGGATAATAAAGCCCCGCCTTCTAGTACAGGAGCCAATCATCGATCGCTATAGACTAATGATACTTCAGGGGAAGGGGCTCAGACCAGACGTGAATTTCTGCAGATTTTGTGTGAACCGAACATTTAGAAATGAAACTAAATAGACAGTTGATGTTTAATTTTATTGATTATTTCTAATATGAAATTAAATCATAAGCTTGGCAAGTAGTTTTGGAGAGTTTGATGTTTCCTTATTCAGACAGAACAACCAAACATACTGCTTGAGAGGGGTTTTAATGTTGGCTGCCGAGTGAAATGATTTCCCTTATGGGAGTTTGATTTAACTTAATCATTTATACAAATTTAAGTGGATTAAACATTAAAAAGGGTGTTGTGTTGGTTTGACCAGGGCTTAATTTGTGCTGGAACAAGCCGGTTCCGGTTTCAGCACTTCTGAAATCTGATACGCACCTCATTTTACTGATCCCCCTCCTCACATGCACCCCCGCCCCGTCCCGCTCATCACTTTTGTCCGCAACACCCTCTCCCTCCTCTGGTAACATGCTGGATCCATTACCCCGATCTGTTCCAGGACCTCGCAATTTACAAATTAAGCACTGGGTTTAACTCATATTAAATAAGTAGTTTGAACAAGCACCAAGTGTACTTGTTTTTGAGTGTACTCGTAATTATTACAGTCAATTGATACTAACATTAATATTAACAACTGTCAAATATGTCACATTTAAAATCGCTAAATACAATGTAAATGTTAATTTATATATATATATATATATATGTATATATATATATATCT